AAACTATGAATTTTCATTTTATTTCGTTTCGTTTCATCTTTTGGGAGTGCTATCTGATGATCCAGAGTCCTTTAATAGGGCTCTGGTGAAATAATTTTATTATAATGGAACCTTAAAGTGGTCTGTTTTTTTTTCTTTATATATATATATATATATATATATATATATATATATATATATATATATAATATTTTCACCCCAATCAAGGCAATAAAGTCCCTAAGACACAAGGGCTTACTGAGAGAGGAAGAATATAACAAAAAGAGAAACAATATTAACGTACGAGAACCATGAAATATGAGAAAACAGGAAAGCAGTAGATAACGATTGACATTGAAAGTTGGGAAGATCAAGGTTGTCTGGAAAGCAAAGAGCCGGAAGAAAGTTCCATAAGCTGCAAGTGCAAGAAATGAAACTGTTAAGATAGAACTTAAGGTTACATCTAGCCATTTAATTCCATTTTACAAATTTTACAATATCTTTCAATCAAAATTTCTTCTGGCGCATCCTATGATATCACATCATCTCTAACTTTAAGGGTGAGAAAAACGTCGACTGCTAAACTAGCAGCCATATTGATTTTTAAACACTTTTGGCGACATCTTCCAAATAAATACGACCTGAAGACATTCAATTTGTAAACATTTTTGGCTGAAGCAAATGGTTTTTACCATCCAGATGAAAAACATACATTACTTGCTGCCTGTATACATATCACAAATGTTTTTATTATGCGTTCTGGCCTATTAAAAGTATGTTCATTTTTTAATCAAAGCTTTGAAAGCTTCTCTATGTTTTTTTTTTACATTTACGTAATGTCCTACATTTACTTTCAATGATCTTAGATCACCTGAAAGTGCTAATGGTCTCGTTCTCGTCTCTCTTTCATTTTAAACCATCATAGTCCTGGGTATGACGATAAACTACATCCGGTAGCAAGGCCACTGATCGGGAGTTGGAAATCTCGAAGAGCGTGGAACCACCTTTTAATTACTGCTGTTTTCAGGTCCATTATAATCCGGGGTGATAGCACCTGTTAGGGCCACAGGTTTTTAGAGGAGTCGTTAAGCAAAAACAAAAGACTATGAAAGTAAAAAAAATATATTTTTATAGTCAAAATGCCAGCAATGGATTTTTACATAATTTACCAACAATACGCACATACTAACAAATTATAGCGACTTCACGTAAACCCGTTTAAAATACTACCAAACAACCAACACGAAAGAACTTTATTGACATTAATCCATATAATATCCTACAAATTTCTTCGAGAAATCAAATTATATTTCAAAATATATCTTCAACAAAACCACGACATAAAACACACATCACTACCACTAGTAATTATCTCCACACAAACATGTATATACACAAAAGCTGAGTATCATCTACCATGTAGTCGAATGTGAAAGCAGAATAACATATTTTTATTACTTCCAAGCTCCCAAGAAAATTAAATTTCAGTATTAATTAACCCATAAGGAGTAGATATGCCGTTAAACAGACAAATAAATGATGCCATAAATAAATGAAGCTATCATAAACAATAGTTCTATTTGTCGTTTCTTATTGTAAGAGACAAATCAACACGCTTACAAAGGCTTAAACCAGTTTTGGCAGTAAAGTCAGATAGTGTTTCATCTCCACTCATTTCCGGTATCCCGCAGCCAAGTTTTAAAACCTAGTTTAGGATAATTTAAAAACTAGCAGAATCTAGAATCCACCATTTTAACACATTAAACTAAAACTAGTGGTAATTAATACTGAGGATGTTACGCATATATACATGATGGCTGACCACTCTGAGGATCCGAGGATGTCTGTCTACTAGGGCGACTAACCAATCCCTGCTGCAGCCGTCCGCTCAGGCACATTTGTGGTTATTCAACACCAACAGAGCCCACCTGTGTCTTATACTGCAACTATGCTGAGCAGACCTTAGTTACAGCTTCTTGGAGAGAGCGTGTTATCTAGCGTGATCAACGGTCTAAACTGGACACGGCTAGAACTCTCAATGCCTCGGTCACGATGACTTGTGATTTCGTGCTAGCACAACCATCGACGGTTCTCCAAGGGTTCCGTCAACCCAATTTCACTCACAAGGCTTGGGTCAACCCATGTCATACTTTACAGGCACTTTTCAAAGGTGCTGCATATTGGAATCGCCTCCTTCAATCTAATAACATCAGAAAGTCACCTTCCTGAAAATTGACTCTGGTCAGATTCGAACCTGGATCTAATGGTCAAAATGCAAACGTTCTAACCACTCCATCATGTGCCCCATAACATACATACATACATACATACATACATACATATGTTAGTATAAGTTGTGATGTTTCGAATTCAAGGACATACAACGCCTACTTGGATATAAAATTCTATCTCGTTTGTTGACTATTGTGGCATATTTTGCTCGATTCAGCAGCGGCAACGGAAGTAATCAGCAGGGAACAACAGGAAGTCCCAGAACCCATAAAAATGCTGACTAAACCCTATTCGGACCTTCTTTGCCACTTTTCCTTTTCAGCAGCCACTACCTTCAAGGCCAGCTCGAAGAACCGATCACAACTCTTGCTGCAGAAGACACGTGACAGTCCTGGCAGATCATAGAAACAGATGTCCCACGGGAACAAGCGGAGAACTCACCCTTCGAGACAGCTACCCAAAGGAAAAACTACTCACGACCCTTAATACAGGTACTAGCAGTTTGACGTTTAGGTTTCTGTTGTGGATTCCGGGATGAAATCCGGTACCAATAAATAACAAACGTCAAGAAGGAATATAGAAAAATAAATGTATTAATGTAATAATAGTAACTGGTAATGCAGGTTAGTAGTTCCAGGAATGCGGGTTAGTAGCAAAATATATATACAGACTTTTGTATCGACGTATCACTGTATGATTTCTTACAGTCTACGTGCTTGCTGTTCTTTCTCGTTCTGGTATTTACTTGACTCCCATTAAGTCAAGATGTGACACAAGGTCGTTTAACGTGGGAGACCCGAGTGTTTCCACTCAAAGGCCACTGGTCCAAAACTGGTCATAGCTTGTCCAAGCTGGTCAGAGCCTAGTCAAAGCTGGTCATGACTTGTCCTAGCAAGTCCCGGCCGGAGCCAGTCCAAGCTAGTCGAAGCCTTGATCGAATCTCAGCCATAGGCCAAGAAACGATCCAATAATTGTCAAACCCCCCAGCATAACGCCGGCGGGCGAGTTCTCGCTCTTTCGCGTTCTTCTCCCAGGTATTCACGTAGCAGTAGTAGATGTATACCCTGGGTGAGTCCATTTGTGTAAAAAAGGGGAGAACCCCTCAACAGTTTCCTCGTGGGAACAAGCAGAGAAATCTCTCTCTACGAAACATCTACTCAAGAATTCTGTTAACTGCGAAACCCAACACTTTTTTCCTGCAAAATATCTCTATTTTGCACTTTTTATAAACGCTGAGAAACAGCTATTTCAAGCATTTGATTTATTCATTCCACTCTATACACTGTTGAGCACAAATACACACTGACACACACGCAACAGGGAAAATCCCTACATGAATTCGAAACGCCACAAATTATGTAATTTTTGGTTTCAAAAATCGATTGCGCGAAATATGACTGATCAATGAAGAACAAACAACACAAAAGTAAAAATACAAAAATTCACTTCTTCTTTTTCTTCACGTCTCATTCTCTGATGAAACTTTAATAAAAGTGAAATGTTAGATTGATAAGCTTTTCGTATTTGCTCTTTATCTTCTCATTCTGCCGGATTCGGATATATATTTCATCTATATTTGATCCCAACTCATACATACATTCATATATATATATATATATATATATATATATATATATATATATATATATATATATATATATGTAACTGTCAAGTGTCAGTTCACCATATTCGACTGCAAAACATATCCCAGAGTTCTCAAAATCGGTCTACATTTTAATCAGATACATGGCAAAATTTCAATGTAAAATGTTTCCTTGTAGCGATATATCTTATATCTTTTCTTTTATGCAGTAAAATCTGTTTTTATGGCAGTTTTTCTTTGAAACAGTGCAGCGTAATAACGGTTACTTCACGTTCGATATACGACTACTACTACTACTACTACTAATAATAATAATAATAATAATAATAATGACAATAATGACGATAACTATAACAACAATGCTGATGGAACTTAGAAAGGTTTCTCTAAGATTATCAATTTGTTTTGGGGACGTTGAAAATAGGTTTTAATACCAGCAATATATTTTTGTAAAAATATTACCAGCAATGAATTTTTGAAGGAAAAAAATTATTACCAGTTATACATTTTTGAAAAAAAAATATAACAATCAATACATTTTTGAAGAAAAAAATATTACCAGTGACACATTTTTTGAAAAACATTAGCAGCAATACATTTTTGAAAAAAAATACTGCCAGCAATAAAAATCTTGTCGGCATTAAATAACCCACTGAGGTTGATATAGCGTAAAACAACACAAAGAAAACAATATCTAAACATAACTTGCTATAATTTCATTTCTACTGTTGATGTGCGAACGCGAAACATATTTGTATGCTTTCAAATAACAATACCACGGGGCAATTTTTATTGTAAATATATATTGTTTTTACTTTTCATATTATTCTTCAAACTAACCAGGGACATATCGAATCTATCTATATGTGCCATTCTCTCTCACCTTCGTTCTGTCTCATATATATATATATATATATATGTGTGTGTGTGTGTGTGTGTGTGTGTGTGTGTGTGTGTGTGTGTGTGTGTGTGTGATAAAAATATAGTTTAAAGTTATGCTATAATTATCGGTTTAAGTGTTCAATATCCGAAATAGGGTTTTATGTCAATACAAAAGTGGCCATTGGGGTCAACGCCTAACAGCGACAGTCTTTTACATGTTTAAACAGAATCTTCACCCCTTGAAGATTGCATATAAAAGGATGTAACAGAATGTCGTCGCTGGATGTTGAACTCAATGTTCAACATATATAGATAGATAGATAGATAGATAGATAGATAGATAGATAGAGTGAGAGAGAGAGGGAGAGAGACAGGGGGGAGAGTATTATTAGTAGTAGTAGTAGTAGTAAGTGATATTTTTTTTAAAATGCGCTCTCTCTCAGTCAAGATACGAACTTTCATCCCACGGGCCAGAAGAAAACCGTCGTTAGATCCAACGTGCCTGAAGAGATTCGGCCAGGGAGCAGCCTTGTCGACCCATCGAATTTTGAAAGGGAGTTCGCCGGAGGGCAGATATTATTCTTCAATAAGATTTTCGAATATTCAGGCCAGTAGACAAAAGTAAATAATTATGCTGTTTAATAAATTAATAGAGCGTCAACTTAAAGGGATAATATATAGGTATGTGTATATGTGTGTGTATATGAGTGAGATTGTGTGTGTTTGTGTAAAAATTCAGATATAACAAAAAATATATATGTAAAAAGGCAAATGTGACTAAAGACAAAAAGAAAACTTGTCCTTGTCTACGTGTTTATCAAAGTAAATGATTTTTGTCTCAATAGAGTCCATCAGAGGACGAAACTCATCAGCAGAGATAAGTTTCCCTTTCGTAATTATTCATATATATATATATATATATATATATATATATATATATATATGTGTGTGTGTGTGTGTGTGTGTGTGTGTGTGTGTGTGTGTGTGTGTGTATATATACATGTATATATATGTGTGTGTGTATATATACTATATTTTATATCATTTGTTTCTCCTTATATATATATCATTAATATATTTTTATAATTATATATGCGCCATTTATTAAAGCGCTAGATCAGTGATAGAGCTAACAGGTTGGATATAATGACCTTAATAATAATAATAATATGGATATAAATTGCTTGAGACTAATAATAATAATAATAATAATAATAATAATAATATATATATAATAATAATAATAATTTTAATTTGTTTCTCCTTTTTCAGTCATAACCATTTTTATAATAATTACGTAAATAATAATAATATAATAATAATAATAATAATAATAATAATGACAATAACCATAACAACAATAATTATTATTGTTGATGTTTCGAAAGCATCGTTACTAAGTTGCATAAAATTGTTACAAGCATGTGCTTTGTAGAACAAATGAAGTCTTTGGAAAGCCCACAGTTCTCTGAGACTATGATATCCAGCCTACGAGTGATACACCATCTCCACCCGGATATTATTGTGCCAGATAAAGGTACCAAGAACTGTCATAATATTGATGTTGCTATACCCAATCACACAAATATGGCAAACAAGGTGATTGAGAAAATTACAAACTACTCTGATTTGAAAGTTGAGATGGCGAGATTGTTTGGAATTTAAGAAAAGCAATGTCAACGTGATTCCAGTGGTGACGATATTCAGTCACCCCCCCACGAGGGTGTCATGTGGCACAAGGCCTTTTTAACGTGGGAATTCCCGAGCCATTGATTCCAGTGGTGACTGGCGCATTGGAATCAAAATCCCATTAAAATCGATGATTTTCTTGAGCAGCCATACCAATTTGAAGTCATCTCAAAATCGGCTCTTTTTTAGGAAAGTATTGTCTGTCTGAGGTCCTTGTTTTGATTTGGCAGATAACATAATGTACCCGGTGTATTCAAAAACTTCCACCCTGTCACGAAACATGACCATGTAGACGGTTACGTCACTTATACAGTTGAACTACTTATTTTCTTATGTCACGAGTAGTAACCCGAAAATAAACTTTTTTTTACCAGCAGCCAACATCATACGCTGTGCAAAAGCAGAGCAATTATAATATTAATAATACAAAATGACTGATGCAACTCTTCTATTTTTCAACACGCCATTTAAAAAAAAGAAATAGGAAAGAAAAAAACACAGTGTTTGACAATATTAAACAATATTTCATCAATATGTCTGTCTTCTTCAATTTATGTTTAAATATTGTTTCGTTTTGTTTTACTTTACGGCATATCAACCACAATGGGTTATTTAATGCCGACAATGTTTTTATTGCTAGTTATACGTTTTTCAAAAATGTATTGCTGCTAATATTTTTTTCCAAAAATGTATTGCTACTTGTTGCACCGGCCTCTAACACAAGGGAATTACACCGGTTCTCGCTATATATAGTGCCAGTAATACCTACCCGGGGTAAGCAGCGACAGTACTACAACTGCCTAGTTGAGTAGTACCCGTTTCCTACCTTTGTATCTGTGATGTTAAATACACTTGTTCCTTAAACCAACTTCGACTTGATTTTCTTATTTTTACTCTTGTGCCACGACACAACAGATTGGCGACGTCGGAATCAAAACGATATCACTGCAGACAATCACCTAAAGTGATTGAAATACAAGGATTCGCAAGATTTTTACGGCAAAACACCTTCGTCATTTCAAACTGATACGTGGATACGCAAGGATTAATAGCAAATTAATTACTACAATAGTAATTTGGCGACGTAAAAAAAAATTAGAAACAACCAAAATTTGCTACTAAAAGTCTACAGCGTGAGAACGCGAATAATATTGTCAATTATAGTTGAAAATACTGACACCAAGGGTTTCGAAAAAAAAAAGGAGGTTCACTGTTTTTTTGTTTCTTTACAAGAAACCAGAGTTTTTTTGTCACGGTAAGATTTTTTTTCCTTCTCTTCTTCAAAGTTAAATGATTTGTCGAGTGAAAAATATATATTCGCGTAAGTCGTTTGTGCTTAACAAAGACTGTTAAAAATTCGAGTCATATTTGTGCAAAACCACAAAGAGGTTGGAAAAAATATTTTGACTTTCCCATTAGTCGACACTCCTTAATGCGACGGATTTTGTTGTTTTTTATGAGAAATACATATTTCTTGTTTGTGTATTAGTTGAGCAAACTAATTTTAGTAAGCAAGACTTGGGAAAACTGATTTGTTTAATACAAGTGTAAACTGTATGGTGCGTAAATTGAATTCGTACCATGGACGCAGAATTAAGAGAGTCTCTTCTTCAATTGTTCAAATTTCAAACGGAACAAAGTCTCGCGTTGCAAAAGCAACAACTTCAACGACAAATTGAAAGTGAGGAGAAATTTAAAAAAGAGTTGTTGGAACAACAGAAACGCGTCGAACAAATCTTTATGAAAACATAGAAGGAACAGAGGAAACTTCTGGAGGCAACACAGTTAACGAATTCAAGCGAGAATCATAACGCATTCTCCCAGACGGCTGTGTGGAACGCTATTGAAAGTTTCAATTATAATCCAGAAGACGATGTCACGTTTGCTCATTTCTATAGAAGATATGAGGATATTTTTGTATCGGATTGCGGTACATGGACAGACGCTAAAAAAGTTAGGTTTCTGCGAAGAAAATTGGGAACTGCCGAGCATACAAAGTTCGTGAATTTTATCCTTCCAAAAAAGACCAGTGAGTTGAACTTTCAAGAGACAGTTACTCTACTAACAGAACTGTTTTCTACAAAAACTTCTCTTTTTCAAAGGAGATATAAGTGTATGAATGTCACTAGAAGAGAGGAAGATGATTACACTACTTATGCAAGTATTGTAAACAAGCATTGTGACGACTTTAAACTGGAGGAATTATCATCAGATAATTTTAAATGTTTAATATTTGTGCAAGGGCTGGTTTTAAATAAACTCGAAAATGAGCCGAATTTAAAACTACAAAGCTTAGCGGAAGACTGTGAAGGGTTTGTTGCGTTGAAACAGGACAGACGTGACATAGAGGAAAGCGGGGTGTCGCACATTAAAAAGGTCCATCAGAAGAAAAATTTAACTTCAAAAAATAACCAGAGGAAAAAACAGGGAAAAGATCCACCTGGACCGTGTTGGAGGTGTGGAGATAAACATTGGTACAATGAGTGTCCCTACAAATTCAAACAATGTGACAACTGCTACCAGAAGGGGTATAAGGCATCACATTGTAGGAAAAAATCTGGTAGAATGAAGACATCCATTAAACTAACGAAAATTGAACCTGAGGAACGAAATATCCGGAAATTTGTACAGGTCAAAATGTTTAAAAAAGAAAGTAAGACTACAACTTGATAGTGGGTCTGATATTTCCATCATTAATATACAGACATGGAAGAAGCTTGGGAGACCCACTATGATTAAATCACATAAAACGGCGAGAAGCGTCAGTGGTGAAAAATCACCTTCGAAGGAGAATTATTGACGAATATTTCTTTTCAGAATAAGACCGAAAAAGCGAAAATTTTTGTCATGCGAAAATCAAATAACCTCTTTGGCACTGATCTGTTCGAAAAATTTAGACTATGGGATCTGCCTTTAAGCTCTTTTTTGTCAAAAAAGTTGAGGATTCGAATGTGGAAGCAGAAAAACTTAAGAGGGAGTTAAAGAGAATTTTCCAGACGTATTTACAGGCGGTCTTGGAAGGTGTACAAAAGCGGTAGCAAAATTTGAAGTCAAAGAAAATGAACAGCCAGTGTTCAAAAAGAAAAGAAAGGTTCCATACGCCGCTATAGAACAAATAGACGGTGAATTAGAAAGACTCGAAAAAACATGGGTGTCCTCGAAAAAATTGATCACAGTGAGTGGGCTACGCCAACAGTCTACATCAAAAAAGAAGAGCAAGGAGATTAGGGTTTGTGCTGATTTCTCAACAGGTTTAAACAATGCATTAAAGGATCACCATTATCCCTTCCGAGCCCTTAAGAAATATTCGCTAAAACTGAGTGGAGGGAAATATTTTCTAAAATCGACCTCAGTGACGCGTATTTACAAATCCCAGTCGATCAGGGAGTGTTCAAAGCTGCTATGCATCAATATCCATAAGGGATTATACAAGTTTAACAGACTTCCTTTTGGGGTCAAAGTCGCCCTGCGATTTTTCAGCAAACAATGGACATGATGTTAAGTGGGCTGGACTTCGCAGTAGGGTACCTGGACGATGTGTTAATGAACAGCGCTAGCAAAGAACAACACAAAGCTCATGTAAACCAAGTATTCAAAAGGATCCAGGAATGGATTTAAACTGAAACAGGGAAATGTACTTTTCATGGAAAAAATTAAATACTTGGGGCAAATTATCGATGAACATGGAAGAAGGCCGGATCCAGATAGATCGAGTGCAATAAGGGACATGCCTGCTCCAGAAAATATTGCGTCTCTACAAAGTTTCTTAGGGT